CTCACATGCTCCGACAGCTCGTCTCAAATGAAGACCGCGTTTCCATTACCAATGCGTATCAGATCGCATTTGATCTGTATGACAACGGCACACAGGAATTCTTGGGCAAAATCATCAAGTCGCTGCCCTCCGGGGAGGCTCCCAAGAAGCCTGCCGCCTCCGAGGATGACAATGACGACAGCGAGGAGGCCGAGCCGCTGCTGGAGAACGAAGAGTCTGCCGAAGAGGCGGTGTCGGATGACCTGGCCAAGGTCTACAAGAACATCCGCGCCATTCTAGACGGTAGCAAGACTATCAGGCTCAACCTTGAGTTCCTCTACCGCAACAACCGTACAGACCTCAGCATCCTGAACAAGGTTCGCGACAGTCTTGAGGGCCGCAACTCCATCTTCCACACCGCCGTCACCTTCTGCAACGCCTTCATGAACCAGGGCACCACCAACGACAAGTTCTTCCGCGACAACTTGGATTGGCTCGGCAAGGCTGTCAACTGGTCCAAGTTCACCGCCACTGCTGCTCTCGGTGTCATTCACCGTGGCAACCTGACGCAGTCCCGGAAACTCCTCGAGCCGTACCTGCCCCAGGCCGGTGGCCTGAGCAGCGGATCCATCTTCAGCCAAGGTGGTGCTTTGTACGCCTACGGCCTGATTCATGCCAACCACGGAGCCGACGCCCTCGACTACCTCAAGACGCAGTTCGCGTCCGCCGAGGAGGAGGTGATCCAGCACGGCGGAGCTCTTCGGATTGGGCATCGCAGGATTGGGTCCTGGATTCCGAAGAAGATCTTTGACACCCTCAAGAAATGTTCTCCTTCACCGACTCTGCCCTCAACGGTGAGACCGTCGGTCTTCGCCATGGGCCTGATCATGCTGGGCTGGGCGCTGCAAGTCAAGGCTCTCGAGGACATGATACCTACGCTCACGAGACGGCGCACGAAAAAGATTGTACGCGGTCTTCCATCGGCATGGCTCTGATCATGTACGGTCGCCAGGGAGGGCGCGGACCCCATGATCGAGGGTCTCCTCAACGACCCTGACCCAACTCTGAGGTACGGTGGTATCATGACCGTCGCCCTCGCCTACTGCGGCACCGGCAGCAACAAGGCTATTCGTAAGCTTCTCCACACTGCCGTCAGCGATGTGAACGACGACGTCCGCCGCATTGCCGTCATGAGCTTGGGTTTCATCCTGTTCCGCAAGCCCGGCAGCGTACCCAGGATGGTCGAGCTCCTCTCCGAATCCTACAACCCTCATGTGCGTTACGGTTCCGCCATGGCGCTCGGCATCTCGTGTGCGGGCACAGGCCTCGACGAGGCTATCGATCTGCTGGAGCCTATGATGAAGGATCCTACCGATTTTGTCCGCCAGGGCGCCCTCATCTCGCTCGCCATGATCATGATCCAGCAGAACGAGGTCATGAACCCCAAGGTGGCTGCGATCCGCAAGACACTGAAGAAGGTCGTCGGCGACCGCCACGAGGACGCCATGACCAAGTTCGGCGCTTCGCTGGCTCTCGGCATCATTGACGCTGGTGGCCGCAACTGCACAATCGGCCTTCAGACCCAGAGCGGCAACCTGAACATGGCCGGCATCATCGGTATGGCCGTGTTCACGCAGTACTGGTACTGGTTCCCCTTCACCCACTTCCTCTCGCTGGCCTTCTCCCCGACATCCATCATTGGCCTCGACCACGACCTGGAGATCCCCCAGTTCAAGTTCCACTGCGCCACTCGCCCCAGCCTCTTTGACTACCCCCCAGAGCAGGAGGTCAAGGCTGAGGAGGGACCCACAATGGTGGCGACCGCCGTGCTGTCGACGACCGCCCAGGCCAAGCGCCGTGCCCAAAAGAAGGAGCGCGCCCAGCGTCGCGAGAGCATGGACATTGACCAGCCCAAGCCGGCTGTCGACAAGATGGAGGTTGACGAGGAGAAGAAGCCTAAGGCTGCCGAGGAGTCGTCCAAGGACAAGAAGGAGGCCGAAGGCGAGAAAGGCACTCCTGCCCCCGTGGATGCCAAGAAGAAGGCCGAGAAGGAGAAGGTCGGGTACGAGATTGAGAACATGTCCCGTGTTCTCCCGGGACAGCTCAAGTTCGTCAGTTTCCCGTCGGACCGGTACCGACCCGTCAAGAAGGTAAGCATTCCCTATTCCGACGCGCGACAGAATCCGGCAGCAAGCTAACAATGACACCAGCCCAGCGGTGGTCCCCTCCTCCTGGAGGACACGCAACCCGATGAGGAGAAGGTTCTCATGGAGGAGAAGCTGAAGAAGGTGACGACCGAGAAGGCCCCCGTCGCGGGCCAGAGGAACGGTGGCGGAGAGCGTCCTGAGATGACCACTCGCCAACAGCAGGAGCTTATTCAGCAGGCACTCGCGCCGGCGCCAGCGGAGACCTCCGCTCGCTGAATGAGTTCAACAACCTGCTGAGCCAGACGCGGGTGCGCCACGATGACGACGACGACATGGGCGGCATCGGGGCCGCGGCGGCCGCTGGTGTTCTGACGGCAGTGGACGAGGATGGCGAGGGCGATGAGGAGGCGACTGTGCCGGATGAGTTTGAGTACTTTACTGACAGCGAGGAATAAGAAGGTCTGCCAGGCAGGCTGCGAGAGATGCGTCGGTTAGACCATGGGGCCGGAATCGGAAGAGGCGATCAGGAGCGAAGAGGTGTGTACACCAGACAAGGGAGGCAGGGAGGAGCAAACTGCTCCGCGGCTGTATTTCTAGCCTATTTGCAGGGACGGGGGCGGCTGGGTAGAGAAGGTATAGATGGAAAGGCCTTTTTTTCTTTGCGCGTGAGAAGTGGCGTTGGTTGTTGTTGTTGTTGTTCTTGTTGTACAGTAGGCGTGTTCGTATGTGTATGATACCATGCCTTTCTGCGTTCGCCGTCTTGAGTCGCATGCCCCTTCGCACCTGAGGAAGATAGGGATGTACGAATGCATTATGCCATTTCCTTGACCACGGTCAAGGTGTGAAATATAATAATTACATAAAATATTGTTCCCCGGGAGAATAATGTCCTTGATGAAGCGCCGCGCTAAACCCCTCGCTATCCCTCCTCGCTATCCGCTGGTCAGAAACGAAACCGCCCTTCTGCCACGGTCAAGGTGTGAAATATAATAATTACATAAAATATTGTTCCCCGGGAGAATAATGTCCTTGATGAAGCGCCGCGCTAAACCCCTCGCTATCCCTCCTCGCTATCCGCTGGTCAGAAACGAAACCGCCCTTCTGCACGCTTTGCTTGGAAGCCCAAAACCTCGCTACAGTTACCCCAGCACAGAGTGAAAAGAGGGCAGGAATGCCGATTGTGTTTTGGTTTTCTTCTTCTTCTTCTTGCCTCCCTCTTTCCTCACCTGTTGTCTTCGTTGACGGCCTTCTCGGCCTGACACTCGGAGCAGACGCGGTACCGATGCCAAGCATTTGTGAGGTTGCCTCTAAAGTTCCAGATGGCCTCGTAGCCGTCGGGCTGGGCGTTGTACGCCTCATCCGTTGCCTTGACGAGAAGCGTTGAGCACACCTTGCCGCCCTCGGGGCCGTCGCCAAAGGGCACGACGCCATCGTAGCGCCACCGCTGCCAGGCCCAGGACTTGTGGCCGTGGTCCTGGGACGCCCGGTCGGGACCGGGCTTGACCGTGTCGGCGAGGAGCCTGGCCTGGTCCCAGGTGCGACCGTTGTCGAGGCTGACGTCGACGCGGACGATGCGGCGTCCACCGCCCGAGTAGGCGTAGCCCGTCACGGCTGCTTCACGGCCGCGGGCCTCGGGTGGCGGGGTCAGGAGGCGGCCGCCAGGAGCCTTCATCGGGGGCACAGTGGTCCAGGGGCCGAGCTTGACGGCGGTGATGGCGCTCGTGATCGGCATCTCCTGAATGGCGGGTGCCGTGGTCCAGTCGGGATGGGTCTGGTTGGGTCCGAAGAGCTTGTAGTCCTTTTGTTGCCACTGGCTTTGGCTTTCGTCTTCAGAGACAATC